TTCTGCGTATCACTTAGAGATATGCCTTCGACTTCATTTTCACTATCGCTCGAGTCGGAACTGTCATCGGAACTTTCATCATTTTTCTTTAAAAGTATTAAAGAAGAAATTACAATTATTAGAAATTGTTTATTGACGTCTTGTATAGCGTCCATCTTGAACTCGCATAGCTCGCACAGGAAACCGGTCCGAATTCATAAGCGCTTCATGCGTGTTATGCGCGCATTGAAAAAACGGAACAATTTCAAAGTGTTGTGCATCAGTATTGCAGTCCACGCGCTTCATGCGCGACTCGGAACGCACCCTATATGTCGATGGTCATGACCCTAAAGGTGCTTTTTCATGCGCAGCACGCTGCAGCAGCAATTCGTTACTATTGGTTAAGAATTTTATGTAAGCTAGATGATGCACTTCCGGCGCAAAATACATTTTGCCGCAGTTCGTTGAAGTTGAACCGAACGAACAGCAAGCAGCAAGCGGCAAAATCGAGGCAATATTATTTATTGCAATAAATATTAGGAAAATTAACGAAGAATGGCTTCGAATAAGGTACGAATGTTTGTAAATTAGATCATTTTATACTTTACACTTTACTTTTTCAAATTTGTGGTAAAGTATAAAATGATCTAATTTACAAACATGTATCCGTACCTTATCCGAAGCCATTTTTCGTTTATTTTCCTAATATTTATTGCAATAAATAATATTTTTATAATAAAACGACGGATATATTGTACGTTTTCTCGATTTTGCCGCTTGCTGCTTACTGTTCGTTCGGTTCAACTTCAACGAACTGCGGCAAAATGTATTTGCGCCGGAAGTACGTCATCTAGCTTACATAAAATTCTTAACCAATAGTAACGAATTGCTGCTGCAGCGTGCTGCGCATGAAAAAGTACCTTAAGGGTGCGTTCCGAGTCGCGCATGAAGCGCGTAGACTGCATAGAAAGTCATTCCGAGTTAACTATTGCGCGCTTCGAAAGCGCTTCGAGAGTACTTGATTCCCCAGATTGTACTAACCGTACTGAATTCTTAGCACTCTACTCAGCGCATTGACTGCTTCTCTTTCGACCTGTAGCTGGATTCTGTAACTCGGTAAATGTCGGTATTATCTTTTAACGACGATTTTCGGTATCATTATCGTGTTCGTTAAGAAATAACAATATAAGCGATTCTATAAGTGAAAAGTAACGTAATTTATCGATAATATGTCGTTAATAAGGATCGGTAAATTGCTAGCGATTCGTTAATTTATCGAGGGGTACATGACCCCTCGATAGAGTTATAACGACACGGTATCATTTATCGAGCAAGATATTCTGACACTATTTACATTAATATTCTCATTAATTGTTCTTATTACATTATATTCTCATTAATATTCATTTATTTACGGAAATCTCATTAATACTAAATTGTGAAAGTAAGTAACGATAAGAAACTCATATTGAATATGTGTATAGTATATAGGATATACGCGCGTATACACCATATAGTTTGAGGTTATAAGCATGAACAATACATTGTTGCTCTGAATTAGGAACGTTTTACAAGTGAGAAATAATTTTTTTAATTGTACATATTAAGACATGTCTTAATAAATGTACATTTATGCTGTTTTAGCGTCATGGCTGCAGCAGCATTCCTTGCATGGGAGCTGTTACTGCTTGAGCAGAGAGTCCGGCAAATAGAAAGAAGATTAGAGCGCCGGCTACTTCGTGACCATGCAAATCCTTTGACATTACCTCAAAACGAATTTATGGATATTTTTCGGCTCAGTCCTGATTTAGCACTCTACCTTATTAACGAATTGCATCATGATTTGCAACCCCAAAGAATTAGCGGTCTTGCTCCAGAACTACAGGTTTTAACTGTTCTTCAATTCTATGGTCAAGGCTGCTATCAAAGATCCGTAGGAAATCAATTCCAACATAATATGAGTCAAACTTCAGTCAGTCGATGCATCCGCGCAGTTACAAATGCCATCAATCAACGACTCTTACGTCGTTGGATTAAATTTCCTATGTCTCAGGAAGAGAGAGCTGCAGCTCGTAATAAATTCCGAAATGCTCCTCAGCCATTCCCAGGGGCGATTGGCGCAATCGATTGCACATTTATAAATATACTAGGCCCTGTAGAACATGAAGAGGCTTATGTTAACCATCACGGTAATCATTCTCTTAATGTTCAAGTAATCGTTAATCCTGATCTCCTTATACTGAATATTAATGCAAGATTCCCAGGTGCTAGAAATGATTCTTATATTTGGAACAATTCACCTATTCGAAGGGCAATGGAGTATTGCTATAATCGAGGTGAGCGCCAAACTTGGCTTATAGGAGACGCCGGATATCCATTGGAACCATGGTTAATGACTCCATTAGCTGATTATCCAATAGGTACGAGACAGTTTGAATATACAATGCAGCTCTGTTCATCTCGTAACTGTGTCGAACGTTTCAATGGAGTTTTCAAGTCTGTGTGGAGATGTTGTTCCTATCAAAGAATTTTAATGTATAAACCAGAACTTGCTGGTAGAATTATCAACGCATGTGCTATCTTGCATAACATGCGAATTCATGCGCGTCTTCCTGTTGATCAGTTCCTAAATGATCAAGACGCAGGTCTTCCTGAAGACCCTGTACACATATATCACGAGGGGGACAATGAACCGGTGAGGAATCTAGCGCTGGCACGAAGAATACAGAAACAAATTATGGCAGATAGATTCCCCGATTTACCTGATGGCGATGACCTCTGACTTCTGTCATTATTAATATTATAAATGAAATACAAATTAAATGTGATATAATTTGTGAGAAAATTGAATTTTTATTTTCTATTTTGAAATTCTAAAAAAAGAAATATTACATTTGTTGCCTTTTAAAGTGTAAAGTTAAGATTAATGTATTACATATATGCTGTATATGTATAAATAAAAATAAAGCGTTTTACATTCTATATTGCATCTTTTCATCTCTATTTAACTTTGTTTCTGTTTAACAATTAAATCCAAAGTATCTACAAGACGAAGTAAAACTTCATTCCTTGCTTTGTCATTTTCTGCCACAGTGCGGAGAATATCAGTTTGTATACGATTATTTTCTGCTTGTATTAAGGCTGCCTCTGCCCGTAACTTTTCGGCCTGTGCTAGCACCTGTAGCAAATATCATATTATGGTATTTGTTTCTTGTTAATAATTTTACATTTATCTGAATAAATTATTTTTTACCTCTGTCGCCTCGCATGTCCGCTCAGCGAGACATGTAAATTCTTTTCGAGCTTCGTTAAGTTGAATTCCTAATCGTTCATGGTGAACTCCTATCAAAAAGATTTATACATGTATATAGTGGGTGCTTTCCATTTGATGACACAAGTCAACACAAGTGTCGTTCTATCTTTGTCAGTCTCTAAATGTCAAGAAAGATAGAACGATACTTGTGTCGACTTGTGTCATCAAATGGAAAGCACCCATCAGTGTATTCAGGAAAAAAATATATTTTTATTAGGTGCGTTCAGTGGACTCAACAGTCGAATGAGCGCTCGCTGTTATTGGTGTATTCTTCTAGATCTAAAATTCTGATTGGATGATCTAAAAGAATACACCAATAACAGCGAGCGTTCACTCAACTATTGAGCCTGCTGAACGTGCCCATTACTGATAAAACTGCAATAGCGTCGCAGAACTAACTTTTTCTTAAAAAATTTGCTTTCGAAGTAACTGGCATGCGTGATTGTTTCATTGAAGCAGAAGTATATTGAGTTTTATTTTTGGGAACGACATTAATTTGTTTCTCCAGTGCTAAATCAGCTGATTGATTATTAGAAGTTGATACCTCAGGATTTAAGGTTTGATCTGAGATTATCACCATATCTTCTTCAGTATTAGCATCCATAGTCATTGTAACTGATTGTGAGTCAATAGGCAATAATTCATTATTGATATCTACACAAACATAAGAATTAAAAATAAAAAATTTATTTATATAAGCATTTAGATTTATATCTATTTACTTTCTTCTGCTGGCACAGTCACTGATTGCACAGTTATCACCTGTGGGATAGCTTCATCAATGTTAGCATCTAATCCTTGCTCCAATCGCTCAAATATGTTTTCCTATTGAAAAAAATACTGCTCATACATACACCATCAAAAAGCGATCTCTTGAAACTGAGCAGCCAACTTACAAACTCTTCTGGAAAAGAATCCGGAACAGTCGCTAAGCCTTCAATATATTCATATCCAATTAAGTCAATAATTTTTTTGTCTCTTTCAGTAAGAACAATATCATTTGGCTTATTGCCAGTGGCAGCTCTATTTTTCTTCAAACTTGTTACCTTGTTTGATACTTTTGTTTTAGTATCACGCCACGTCTAAAAAAAAATAATTTAAGTATCAGAAAAAATTAATATTAGAACTGCGGCGACACGTAAACCTACAGTTTTCCATGAGTCAACACTTTTCTTCTTTCCATTTTTAAACATAGCATTTAATGTATTCGTGAGTTCCTCCCAGCTTCCTTGAAGCTCTTTTTTCCCTAGCATTCCTTTTAATTTGTTGTTTGCCACATGTGGATGCAAACAAAAATAATTGATCATGACATCTATTTGCGCCTCTGAAGCACGACCCTGTCTTATCGCTGCTGTTTCTTTCCTTTGACATTCATAATCAAGGCATTATACGTATTTTAACCTCAAAAAATGTATTTCATAATATATATTTTATACATATAAAAATATGTTTTATACACAAATATTTATAATCACAATTGAATTTTAATAACATAACATATCACAATATGTAACAAACCACACTTATGTACATATAATATACACAATGTGTCATAATATTATATATAGATAGCTACATATTACATGTGATTTACCTCGTCGATGTCATTACGCGTGATATGCAATCTCTTTGTATATCTCTTTGTATCTCTTTGTATTCGTTTTACTTTCTCATAAAAACTTCTTGCCTACTCAGAAATTCGTATTGCCGCTTGATAACCGGTCATCGACTATGTTTGGTTAAAGTATACAACTCGTGTTAAGAAGAATTCACATAAACGCTTCTGATTGGCTTTTCCACGTATCCTCGTAATATATGACGTCATATCCGTCGTTTTGTATCGATGTTTCGTTAGATTATTTTGTATCGATTTCTCTCGATTTGATTCCTTTACAGAATCAATGTCTCGTTAATACTGTCTCGTTACATAGCGACTCTTTCGATACATAATACGATATCGACAAATTTCGTTACAAATTACCGAGTTACAGAATCCAGCTACTGGGCCCATATTCTGTACACGGCTACCGACAGTTGTCGGTAAGCGTGTACAGAATAGGCCCCCTCAGGCAGTTGATGCGTCTGATGCGTTCATGCGGTCTATGCGCATGATTTGTAATTCGGAACGAGCAACGAGTACCGGACAATACAAAAATGAACGGACGAATATTTGCGATTTGCGATGGAACAGCGATTACAGCAATTGCATGATTTCCCGGTCTTATTAGAGGATAAAAATAAAGTATTAATTTTATTTTTAAATGAAGAGGATATGGCGAAAGTAAGCCAAGATAAAATTAATGGCATTATTCAACAAAAATTAAAAATGCGAAGTAAGAGTCAGAAGTAAATAACATTTAAAATAATATTAAAATGTTAACATATTTACAATAGAAGTATTACAAAAATTGCTTAACAATTGTTACGCGCAGCATGTTTTTAATTTTAACAATTGTTACGCGCAACATGTTTTTAATTTTAAGTATCGGGCATAATGTTTTTAATTTTAAGCAATTTTTTGTAATATTTCTATTGTAAATATGTTAACATTTTTAAATTATTTTAAATGTAATTTACTTCTGACTTTTACTTCGCCCTTTTAATTTATGTTGAATACTTTCATCAAAATTAATGGCATATTATTTTACCTTGATTTATTTAATGTATAGATTAGACGTTATATTAATTAGGAATTACGCGATCGACGTAATCAATAATTTTTTCAACTCCAATTTGTTTTCCACGTGATTTATCTACTATTAATAGAAAAAATATTTTCTGCGTATCACTTAGAGATATGCCTTCGACTTCATTTTCACTATCGCTCGAGTCGGAACTGTCATCGGAACTTTCATCATTTTTCTTTAAAAGTATTAAAGAAGAAATTACAATTATTAGAAATTGTTTATTGACGTCTTGTATAGCGTCCATCTTGAACTCGCATAGCTCGCACAGGAAACCGGTCCGAATTCATAAGCGCTTCATGCGTATTATGCGCGCATTGAAAAAACGGAACAATTTCAAAGTGTTGTGCATCAGTATTGCAGTCCGCGCGCTTCATGCGCGACTCGGAACGCACCCTAAGTAACCTCCAACAACTTTCGTCCTTCGTTAAAAAGTTATTAACAAAAAAGTTTTAAAAATAATTATAAAATAAAAGGCTCAACTAGTGATGCATTCGAGCGAGACGAGACGAGAAAATATCAATATCGAAATTCTCGACAAAAACAAGCGATTGATAAAATTTTTTCGTCTTGATAGACCGATATTCTCGCTTGTCGAGATTCTCGTATTTTATACCGAGACATTCGAGAATATCGATTATCTCATGTCATTTATTTGAAATATTCATTTAATAACCAAGATACCAAGCATGCAGCACATTATTAATTATAACTGTTATATTATAGTAAAATAATGTATGATAATCCGTAAAAAAAGCAACAAATCGGTGAAATATCAGGTAAAACATGATTAATCTCTTATTATATTATTGAAATTATGTTTAACGCAGAAAAAGAATTAATTCCAGTAGTGGAAGCCGAGACGAAACGCCAAAATTACGTGATATTCTTCGCAATAAGTTACCTGAGCCGAATAAAGCCCAGTACAAAATAAGACCCACTTTTGAAATTACCGCTTATAAATGCACTTTATGTCTAAATTATATGCTTAAAAGATATGTCATAGGGCCGATAAGAAGATGTCTAGAAAAATAGAACCGGCAACAACTCTGTTTTTTAGTATAATGTGAACTTTGTGACAAGATGGATGTTTTGTGTCGTTTTTATAAAAATCCACTGCAATAAATCGAAAGTATTTGAAAAAGTTTATTAAATATACGTTATTTTTTGTAATTTATTATAACATACTATAATATTATTCAACACTTTAGGGTCTGAGCACAAGCACTGCCGTAACTTTTTACGACATACTTAAGTTGTAGACGTAAATAACGCACAAGCTTTGGCGTATCGGCGTATGACGTGTTTATGTATGTACATTATTGCCATATATTTTTCGATAGCGTGCATAAACACGTCATACGCCGATACGCTAAAGCTTGTGCGTTATTTACGTCTACAACTTAAGTATGACGTAAAATGTTACGGCAATGCTTGTGCTCAGACCCTTAATCAGTAAAAATAATGGTAAATGTGTCGATGAGGGGACTCCCCTCCAATGACTTTGACCTTGACATATGTTATCAAGGTCATGATTCTGAGTAACTTTGCCTTAACAACTAGCCGTCGCTCGCCCTTCGTTAAAAAGTTATTAACAATTATAGTTTTAAAATAGTAAATGTCTCAATCAGGGGACCTCCCTCCAATGACTTTGACCTTGACATATGTTGTCAAAGTCATGACCCTGAGTAACCCTCAACAGGTTTTAGCTGTCACTCGTCCTTCGTTAAAAAGTTATTAACAATCATAGTTGTAACGTATGCTATACATGTATGATATGAAGTA